TTAGGTGTCCATCCGTTCATTATGAGGCCACTGTTTTTTAATGTTGGAAGTTGAATACCCACAGTCCTGTTGAGTGTTTGTTACAGTACGTATTAATTCGCTTACCGAAGTTCTTGAATTACACGGTTGTTGATGAAATTTGTCTTAAGGCTTTCGTCATCTTGCTCATCCAGACAGTCAGAGGGACGTCCACTTCGTCTGCTGTTGTAACTTTATTAGCAACCCGTTGGAGTATGACCTGGGTCTTTTGTTAACATGGAACCTTGAATAACAGCGATATATATATCAGAAAGATGCAGCCAGTGTGGAACGTATGCCTCATTTTACTCGATGACAACTAGCTATTGCTGACTCCGGAGTTTATTATGTTACTTTCTGACCTACGTCCGTTGACATCTTTTAGCACTTATTAGTCCTACCTACATAACGTCTCACAATTTATTCGCCATTTTTATTGACTTTTATCCAATCTTGTCCTTTCCATCTTTTGTTTTGTTTTCATGTATTTGATCAGTTTGTGTTGTAAGATTCAGACTTGTGTTTCGAGGACAGGAGGCCTACAGGCTGTGTTAATCATTCTCTAGTAGCTTCTAAGTATCTAGTCTTCACCCGAACGATTCAATTGAAGAGGCGGACACCACTTCTTCGGGTAACGGGTTCCGAGAATCGGTGACTCGGTTCGAAGTCCTGTATACCATGAGTATTTTGTTTGTTCTTGCCTTTTGTACTCACTTGCCATAACATATGAGATGTCCTAATCCGTTGGAGAAAAACAAAAATGTCAGATTTAAAATTACCTCTTGTTATTCTACACATCGGAATGGGGTCACCTATCCCGAACTTAGAATAGGAAGTGAAGTAGTCGATTGCGTCGACTTCACTTATCTTGGAAGTCTGATCAACCCTAATGGGGTGATGTCTGAATAAATGTCAGCACGCATTCAAAAAGCTAGGGGGCCAAACCAAAACGTGGCATCAGTGCTTGAAGTCACCACTTGTCTGAGCCATGTTGGCAGATGCAGACTACTTGGTTGGGGTACACGTGACAATCGCAACCAATGGTGGGAGACTGTGTGTGACATGGCTCAGAAACGATCACAGTGGCGTAGGTGTATACACTGTTTGTCCTCCCTTAAACCGTGAGATTAAAATTACTTTATATCTTTCTTCCTAAAAACTAATTCTTTCTTCCTGTACTAGATCCTTACATGCAATTTTTCTTTTATACATTACCACAATTGAATTAACTACTATGAATTTTTCGTGCTAATGAGGTGTGGCAACTTGAACCGTTGCATATATGTGCCAGCCCTGAAGCAACAATTTGCATTTACAAAACGCATTTTCTAAGTTTGGACCTCACTACTTTTGTATATACGGTGGTAAGCATAGTTGTATTTAATCGGTGAATATCCGTCTTAAAGCTCATAGGGTTCCAATCTCATTAGCTGCAAACTCCTGGCAGTGGCCTTAAGATCGTGACTCACCCCAAGGTCATTGTGAGACCGATCTATTAGTACTGACTCTTCCTCTATGCTTAAGCTAATTGCATTTGTATTTTCAGTGAGCATGTAAACACACTTGGTCGCGTTGATAGGCACCAGCCATTTATCAGACCAGCTAATCAGAACATCTGTGCTCACTTTAAGTGCACATGTGTTTGCGGCTCCTGTTGTTTCTCACCAGACTTTTACATCAGCTTATAGTAGCATCGGGGGATCAACTATATTTGGGAGCTCTTTTACATACAGTATAGAAGGTAGAGGACCTTGGAAAGAGCCTTGGTGTACTGGATTCTTGACGGAGCACCTACCAGGAAACTCTCGATCCACTTTAGATGTCCGACAATTCTTAGATTCTCCAGCCTCGTAATTTATTTTTCTGCAACTTACCAAATGTTTTGCCGAAGTCTAGGTGGAAAATGTCTCTAACCTTTCATCGCTCTCTTTCTGTAAAGAAGCTTGTTGTGCAAAATCATCCTTTCTTGAAGCCATGCTTTTCGCTGTTTAACAAGTTGGTTTCCACGAATGTCATTATGGTCTTCTTTAGTGTTCTTTCCAGTATTTTGACCACGACACTGGTGAGATTGACAAGTCTGTAGTTTGATGAAAGTTGTCTTGGCCCTGTTTAATGAATTGAAATGACGATTTCATCCTTCTAATCCATAGGTGACTCACCCTGCCCAATTGACATATTGAATATCGTAGTCAATTAGGCAGCAATATATCATGCAACTTCTCAAGATTTTGGGATGCAATTCGTCTAGTCTTTAGTACGTCATCTCGATCAAAGTCCACAATGAGCAGCCGATTTTGTGACTTTGTATTTGGGTTTAGTCTAGAAGATACTCCTGAGTAAAAACTGTCTCAAAACAGTTCATCATGGCCTCTGTTTTGTCCTGTTCTTCCTCTATAATTTGAGACCCACTCCCTTTAATTATGTTGGGAATCCAATGGTGCGTTCTCGTTCTGTAATTTATGTACGAAAACAGTCTCCGGCTACTTTATTACAGATTAAGCCAACTGTTCATATTTTATCAGATGGGTTTTGTGGATATTATAGTAATTTCAATGGTTAAGATCATGAGTCAGTTGAAGCTAGACCACCATGGAAAACCTGGAAGCACTGGACGGCCGTCTCGTTTTATTATGGGACTCCTCAGCAGTGCGCATCCACGACCTCGTCCAGTGCTTCCAGGTTTTCCATGGTGGTCTAGCTTCAACTGACTCATGATCTTAACCATTGAAATGTTCATATTTTATCCGAGCTGCCCGGATTATACTTATACACTGATTTCTAACCTACCTGTAGCGTCCTACCGTAACTGCTGTGCCAAGGCCAATGGTGAAATTCCAACTTCAGTCATGTACTAGGGATATATGCGTAGTGGAAATTAGTCTATCGAGACGGGGTTTATTCAAAATAAACCTGATTGTTTATTATTTAGGATAAGTCATAATGTTGAATATTCTAGTTTTGAGATGTAGATATCAAGACCATGATAAGTCTCTAGCTTCATTACTTGAATATTGACTTGTTTCTTATAGATTGCTAAAATTTCATGTCTCCTGAAAGTAATAATACTTCGTTTAGATCGCCTAGAAAATTAGGACATAATGTTTATCTTTTCCACCGAAACTAATTGACTTCATTATATTCGCACTAGTTTAATGCAGATATATAGGTTGTTTTTTATGCTTTCCAAAATTTTATATTAATAGCGACCGAAATTCCAAGTGAAAAGAGACCCGACTACCTAGTGAGTTGATATCGTATTAAAAAAATTAGTTAGACTGTTTTCCCAGTGAATCTGACTTATTGTCAGCTAGTTAGACTGCGGTATCTTTAAGTATGGTTAGAAATTAACATTTGATAAAGCTAGCGAGTTTTTTTATGTTTCTGATCAGTTCTGTGTTTGAAAAAGGATCTTTTTGCAAAGAAAAATGTTTTTTGTTTTACATATTTATGCGTTACAATTCAATTGGTAATTTGCATAATCCACTTTGTTTTTCTTCGGTACCTATTTTCTACCCTGTAATCAGTAATCTAATACAAATCTATTTATTCATCTCTAAGCTACAGTTTGAGTTTGAGGGTTAATAACTGCCCAAAACTTGGGGCAAATTTGAACGTACGACGTAATAGTTTTAAAACATGTACTCTTACCAGTAATTTAGTGGCGACTATATGGTTAAAGTACGACTCGAAACCACTCTTTTTCAGTTTGAAAAGCCAGATAGTATTGATAGCCTTCACAAAGTGCCTCCATTCTGAATACGCAAATCTGTATATAGTAAATAAGTTGCATTACGTTAACCATGAAGTCATTTATCTGCCTTGTAGATCATGGTGACCCGGGTGATTGCTTTCCAGTTTCACTTATTACAGCATACTACCTAGTTATCAGTTTTTCTTTCTAAAATTTCAGTCATTTTTGAAGGTGGTGGTACTACCCAGTTCTCGCACGTTAAGTCGAGGAATACTTAAACTTGTGATTTGATTATGAAATAAGAAATAAATGAACCGCTTGACCATAATGTGACACTGGCTTTGATGTGCGTTTAGCTTCATATAGTTCATCCTTCTATGATTATAGATTTCCTAACAAGAAATTCTGTGACATTAAAGCATTAATATATGTCAAAGCAATTGAAAAAGTTGCTCATAACTTTAGTGCACAAATCGAGTTAAAAATTCTGATATTAGGCAAAAATGGCGGATTGATTGACAAGGTTGCTAATGTATGTCAACTGAGGTGTTTAGGACATGTACTACGTATATCCATCCACTGAATACCTCGACGCTCAATGTTTGGTGTGAAAGTAAGCCGAAATAAAACCAAAGGAGGCCATACCTAAACGTGGCATCAGTCCATTCAGATGCTTACTATTAGACTTAGCTATGTAGGTAGGTGCAAACTAACTGGTCGAAATCCGTGGGATTACCGTAACTAATAGTTAGAGACTGGGTGACATTGTTTAGAATCGTTAACAATGACTCAGTTACATGCACTCTTCGTTTTCCCTTAGGTTTACGTACGCCTGTTGCCCTCGACTGATTTGTTGAAAGTCGAACACTGGCTATTAAGTCACCGCTGTGTTGACGAAATACTTCAAAATAATCGAATCAGTTATTAAGAATAAGCATAAAGCGTTTTAAACGATTGGGTGGAATATATAAACAAGCTGTAAACACATCAGTAACCATTATATATATGTACTGTATACACCCCTTAAACGTTCTGTGCTCAGAGATTCAGAAATGTAAAAGTTGTCTTTTAAAATGAGAGTTACAGTTTTAAATTAACTGATGCACATTGAAGTATATTTTGCTCAATAGTAAGGTACCCATCTTTAAAGTTTAGTCGGTACTTTGTTTGAACAGTATGATCGGTCTATTTGACAGTAGTGAAGTAAGCAACTTGTCTATCAGTACGCTTTAATTTTATCACCCGCTTCTCATTAACTCCATAATTTTTTAGGTCCAATTAAATTGAATAAATGAAACAAGAAGATCGAGGAAATACAAAATCCAATACTAATCAAGTATCAGCCCATGGTCGGAAGCAGAAAGCATCAAGTAGTAGATCTAGCCGAAGTCGAAAATCTAAAGACCGTGCATCTAAAAGGAAGTCACATACAAAAGTTAACGAATCTTCTCAACCGGCAGATACTTCTTCTTTGAAACGTAAGAAAAATGAACGTTCCAAAACCGTACCTGAAAAGACTCGTAGTAGTGGTCGTTGTACACGTTCTTCAACTTCTGCTGCAGTTGCCAAATCTACACCAAAAGCCAAAGTATCCAACGCATCAACAAAAGAAACTTATTCTTACTCTGATATGTTTCTCGCGGATGATGATGAACACGATTCGGATGAAAACGTTGATGTTGGGGATGAAGACAGTGAATATGCTCCATCTGATGAAGAAACTCTTAATAAATTGTCAAAAATATCAAAATCTCGTAAGGGGGTTTCTTCACGCACACGCCGAAGTTCAAAGGCCCAGTTGACAGTCAGTAGTGATGTGGAAGAAGGTGGATCCACTGACGAAGACGAAGCTGGAGAGTCCGAATCAGAAGAGGAAGATGAGGATGATGAAGAACTGGGAGATTCCATTTTAATGGATCATTCTGGTGTTAACGGTGGTATGCCAATACAGTTATTTGAAGATGAAAGCAATCATATACAAAGAGATATTTATGATTTCGATGCACAAAGTATTATTTCAGATAAACGTGTTACTTCATTAAAGAAAAAGATACCAACAAATGCTGTCAGTCGTGGTATGAATGTAACGTCAGCTAGTCGGTCAACACGTAGGACAGCTTCTGGAAAAGGAACTAGTTGGGGATCGAATATTTATAGTGCTCTTGCAGCTGCTCTTAAAACACGCGCAGATTTAGATGCTTATTCAAGTTTCTTGAAATCAAATGTTTTAAATGCTAGTTTCGATAAATTTTTAGCGGAAATCTGTAAACCTAGTAATCAACATGCTAATTTATTTTATGGTGCATCTGCTAGTTTACAAAGTCTCATGAGTCGTATTAATGATCATGATAAAGTAGTTGAACTATTACATGCATTTGTCGCACGTCCATACGACCAATTACAACATCGTATTGTTTATTTAATACCTATAATTCATCAACCATTGTTTGGTGTTGCTCATATGACACCAATAAGTCAACATCTTGAAACACTTAGTAAAGATATTGATGAAGAACTAATTATTAAACCAGCTTATATTCTTAATCAAGAAACAAATTTACTAGCGATTCGTAGTTCTGTTGCAAGTGATTTCGGTGTATCAAATACACAATATAATTTTATTACTGGTGCTGGTAATCTTGGAAGATACATGCCAGATATTCATCAATTAATTGTTCCATCTGATTTGTATCAAAGATTAACTGAACTAGTCGCACTGCCTCCAGAGCGAATTTATGAATTGGCTCTTGCCAGAGTACATCAACAAGACGAGGAAGCTGATATAGATATTAGTCCACTTGAACCACCGAATTTACAAAGAATTGTTTTAGCTATTAATAAAGAAGGTCAGTTGATTGGGATAGCAATTTTAGACACATGGAATAGTACTGAAATTCCACATAGCAGACCAAAAGCTCCTATCGATCTAATTAATATAACTTCATTATCGGACAAAACTAGTTCAGTAGATCAAAATGGTACTGAAGAAACTAATCGTCAAACTAGGGAGGAACAAGTTCGTGAAGTGTTAGATAACATTATTGACTGGGTTGTTTTAAAATCTGATCCTAAAGATTATAGTTCATTGGCAAAACGTGGAAACAAACAAGAGTCTTCTCCACTTGGACCAGTACGTTTTATAGATGCATTTATTGTTAAACCAAATGGACGTCGAGATACTTTACTTTTAGTTGCGCATCCTGTTAGTTGTCATCCATCTGAAAATGCTGTTGAAAACGATAATTTCTTTGTTTATTCTGTTGTTGATGAATCAAAGTTTTGTCTAGAAAAACATGGATTTATGCCAGAATTATCTATAGCACTTGATGGTGTACATACAGTTGATCCAGAAGATATACTTGAAGATAAATCTTTGTTAGTAGTTCCTGATCTTTTATTTGATACTTTACGGAAAGTTATGCTACGTGAATTGGCCAGTTCTAGTAGTACAGCTGCTGCTGCTGCAGCTGTTGTTGCTTCATCGAGACCAGATACTACAACTCTCCCATTGACATCAACTGGTCCTGCAGCTGTAATTCATTGTACAAAATTTGTCATACTCGATCGCCAAAGGCGTGTTCCACTTGCAATTGCATTTGATTCACCTGTTCGCCTTACTCTTCAGGTAGCAGATGATAAACTTGGTTTACATCCTCACGGTGAAGCTGCTTCTGTCAATTTCGACCAAATCACTCCTTCAGAGTTAAAGTCATATGAGTCTTCATTTAAGCCAACTTCTGCTGAATATCGTTTAGTTGCTATAAACGGTTTGTTGTATGGTTTACAAATCGATGATCAACGTGTTATTCGCCGTATTATTGAGATTGTTCCCGCTCGCTATGATTCCATATATCCTCATACAGGAAATCCATCACTTTGTGCACAATCTATTTCTGCAGCTCACAAGTCTTGTCCGTCTAACGTTCGGATAGTGAATGATGAGACTAACAGTTCAACTGTTTTACCAGCATTTTATTATCCTCATTATGAACAAACCAAATTATGTAGTGTTGTTTCCGGTTTCACTGATCATTTGTGCAGTTTGTTTTTCGAATTGCCTGTCTTAGTCAGTTTATACGATGTTGTTTTGCGTATGGCGCAAAAATATATGCCAGAGATTTTAGCTAGACAGCATATTGAGGCAGCAGAGGCTGCAGCTTATGCTGAAGCTGCCGCAAATCCTCATGCACCTCCGCCGTCACCAGTTCCTCTTCCTGAACATTGGGGTGTTTGTTGTTTGTGTGCTAAAGAACTGCGTTCACCAAACGGTTTGTTGGATCATGAAATGAGACATTTAGGCCTCTCTAGGTTCCGTTGTGGAGTTCATAATGTTTCGTTCCTTGATCGGCGATCATGGCAAGTTCATATGAATGAACATCATGCATGCCCACGTTCAGGTCCTTTATCTGTTCTTTTACGTCCGAATCCAGTTAATCAAAATGATTCGGGAAGTGACCAAGAAGAAGAAGATGATGAATTAGTTGAACAGGACACTGTCCCAGGTAGTGGTTTACTCGCTGGACTTGCAAACGTATTCAACACAAATCTTTTAATTGGTCGAATGGAAGCTCCACAATGCGAAAAATGTAGTGATTATTTCCCATCAGCAGAAGTTCTTGCACAACATTTAGACTTTTGTGATGGTGTTAGCTTCTCTCTTCGTACTCCTTTATCTCGAATCGGCAGTGGTGTTCCAAAGCCTATCTTAGCAGATGATTCATACACTAGGTCTGGTGATGATGCAACTGTAGAAGCTTCTGGTCCAAATGCTGATGAAGTGACATCAGACTCCAAAGATGATGCATGTGTTTGCGGTATCTGTGGAACCCAAGTCAATTCACGTGATAAAATACTTCGACACTTCACTGTTTATCACCTTCAATGCATTTTGTGTAATAACATCCTTCGGTCAATGGAAGAATTGTCTGATCATTATCATACGCACATAAAAACAGATGCACCAAATGCTTTGGAAGAATTCGAGAATGAGGAAGCTGAACTATTGAAAAGTGATCCAGATAAAGAAATAAACCTCAAGGATGGTATCAATAAAAAGTCAGCAAATAAACTGATGACATGTGACATTTGTACAGAGTTTTATGGAACGAAGTTTAACTATTATTTTCATCAATGGGCAGAACACGGAGTAGTACATCCAGGTGACGGAGTGTCGGAAAATATGCTTCAAATGCTCACCCAAACACGACATCTTCGACAACGTGTCGATAAAGAAGATCTTTCTTCTCTCGGTATTCGTAAAATGAAATGTAAACTATGCGGATTTGTTGTTCGTTGCAGTGGAAAAGATTACGTACAACATCTTAGTGAAAAACACAATATCAATACCACTCTTGAGGATATTTGTCGTATTTGCGCTGATGTTTTTGAGACTCCAGAGGATCTTTCTGCTCATCTTGGTGAAATACATTTTCCCACCGGAGAATTCGCCAATGCCGGTGTTCAGACAATATTTCGTTGTACACATTGTGAATTTTGGGGTTTCAACAAAGGCTTGTTAAGACATTCTCGTGAAGTACATGATGATCCTTGCCCGTCTATATATGAATGTATCCATTGTTACGAGAGATTCACTGATAAAAGAGTATGGCGTGCTCATATGGATAAACATAATGAAGGTTATTCACACAGATGCATGGAATGTGGACGGGCATTTCGGCTAAGACCTTCTCTCCTTCATCATATGCGTTGTCATCATGGGGATGATCAAGGGCCAGCAACTTGCGAATATTGTGGCTTGATTTATCCTAAACGATCGTCGTTAAGATATCATATCTTCCGTATGCATAATCAGGTAAGGTCACTTTCACATTTTATTAAACCAGTTGACATGTTCGTTTTTCTCTAACAATACATCCATTACTGTCTTCAATGTCTTAATATTGAGAAAGAAAATGAAACTTTTGTTTCAAATGAAGAAATTACTTTTTTCATTTTTGTAAAACAGTTTATTCTTATTCAGTCAAGTAGACAAAGCGTTATTTTCTGGCTGATGAAGTACTCTTAGTGACAGGTGTAGATTTATCGTATCTTTCTAGCAATCTTTATGTGATGTTAATTTCCATGTCACGATTCATACACACTGATGTATATAAGCAGTGTAGTCATGTAAACCTTACACCTTATGTCAGCTATCAGTAAACAATAACATGCTTTTCATTCTTAGTTTAACAACAAATCATTTCTGTTTTGTAAACATACAAAAACCTACAAAGATCAGGTTGATTATTTTAATCGCTTTATTCAATACTCCATGTTCAATATATTATAAATTCATGTAGCCTACTGGCAGATAAAAGATACCATTTCTTGGTGTGCAGACCATCATTGATGAGAGTTTTGTAGATTGCTAGAACAAAATTTCTTGTGTTATATAACATGATTATACATATTTCAGTTAATACCTCGCAGACTAGAAGGTATTGTCAATTCCCATCAATCCTTATCCGTTTTTGCCTCAAGCACAGGTATTTCCTGTAAAAAGCTTATTAGTGGCTAATTATACAAAGCGCTTTAGTACTTATATCTCTTCTATGCTGTGTAGAGCAATCAGACGAAGTGCGATGTTGGATTAGTCTCTATCTGCCTTTGTGTTTCGGAAATTTTATGGTTCATTAATTATTTCCGTCCTGTTTCTTTTTTACCGTTATTTTATTTTTGATCAATTATTATAGTATTGCAAGGTTCTGCATATTAATATCTGTCTTTGTGAGATGGGTATCCAACCTGTAAGCTACTAGTAGCTTAAAGTCATTTATTTTTGATCAATTATTATAGTATTGCAAGGTTCTGCATATTAATATCTGTCTTTGTGAGATGGGTATCCAACCTGTAAGCTACTAGTAGCTTAAAGTCATTTATTTCGCCCATGACGTTACCAATTTGCTAGTTCGACTTTAACTACTTACTATCTTAGTATTTTCAAGCATGTTCCATAAACGTGAAGCGAACAGTTACCTGGTTATCTGCATCTAATGTCAAGTATTTCCAGGTCGTCTACTAGTTTTCAAACTTATAGTGTTATGGTGATTGTTAAATTTCATAGTTTATATAATATTGATACCAGTTAGATAACTACTAAAAATCAGGATGCACTGGATAGCTGTTTCATCCTAAATTGGTACTCAGTTCAGTGGTCTGAAGGTTGGGTTCTCGTCGCTGAACCTTGGGATCGACTCTCGGTGAGGTCGTGAGTACACACGTGTCAGAAGTCCAAAATTAGGACAAAACAGTTGTCTAGTGCTCCCTAGTTTTTACTGGTTATCTAACTAAAATCCAGTCGTGAAGTAAACAATTACTAACCCAAGTAATTGGTGGTGAGAAAAAAAAACAAAAGTCACGACTAAGCATGTCATTCAGACATTTACAGATAACAAATTTTAAATAGAGAGACATTAAATCCTTTCTTTTTGAAATATAGTTCACTGCAATATAGGAAGTTAATGTTTACATAGGTTGTATGTTCAAATAATGATGATAAATATCTACATTTGATAAATTATATTCGACTATTTTTCACCTAACAGATAATATTGCTTTTCAATAGAAATAAATGCTCGTTGTTCGTTATTCGTATTTCTAATTATTTTGATTTTTACCAAATAGTGTCATGGAAATAAATTGCATAAAATATTGAACATTTTTCTAGGAACTAGCTCATGAATGTTTCATGTGTCAACGACGTTTCCGTTTAGAAACAGAACTTCGACGTCATGTAAAAGAAATGCACAGTGGAGCTGTCAAATGTGAAATATGTCATAAAGTATGCGCTAACCTGAGATGTTATGCTCAACATAGACAAAAACACTTTCGTACTCGTATTTATCAATGTACTGATTGTCAAACAACATTCAAGAGTAAATTGGCTATGAAACGTCATATTCGAGTAGAACATTTACAACTAGGTCCTGAAAAGTTCGAATGTCAAATATGTGGAAAGGTAAAATTTTTATTTCTGTTATATTTAGGTTTCAAATTCTTGTTGATCCATTTCAAGTTCAATTACTTTAGCTTACTAACTTACTTACTTACTTACGCCTGTTACTCCTCGTGAAAGAGCATAGGCCGCCCACTAGCATACTCCATCCAACTCTGTCCTAGACAATCCTTTCCAGCTCATTCCAGTTGTTATTCATCCTTTTCATATCTACTCTGGCTCTGTATACTTTATTGTTTCTATTCAATCATCATTACAACATCAAATGACTTACTATTTTACAGATTTTATCAAAATAAGTTGATTCATTACATGAAATCAGAAAGTTTGATATTATCAATCTAAGGGTACTAATCAGTGTTTAAATGATTTATTCCTTAGCATCCATAAATAATAACTAGAACGTTGATCTTTTCTTACATATAATATAAGGGTTGATAACTACAATGATCAGTGTATCAATATGATTAGGCTTTTAAAAAAGAAAATCATGATTGTCAGAAACATGTATCGTATGTTTGTATGATTTCAAAATGATGAAGATTTGTACTTCATAGATGCTTAGTGGCTTACTAGTGAAGCATTCGTTTACTCTCTGAACAACATCATCAAATTTTATGTAATTTAATGATAATCTGTCTTTGAAAATATTCCTTAAAGTCTGACCAATCAGAATTCAAGATAAATAGAGAAATGTTTTATCTTGGTTATTTCGTTTATATAGATCGACCATTCTTTCATAGAAGAAATCTATTTGTATCTTTTATAGATTGTTACACAAATTGGCATGCATATGTTAATACATAAAGAAGCACGTTTTGAATGTGAATATTGCAATAAACGATTTACCAAAGCTGCCTATTACAATGAACATCTTCGAATACATCGTGGTGAACAACCATTTGAATGTCATATATGCAGAAAACGATTCAATAAAAAATCAAATCTAAATGTTCATTTGAAATTTCATGAGAAACATCGTGATGAAGAAGGAAATGTAAGTATATTTTGGTTCAAATCTTAAGTGAAATAATAGTAAAGTACAATGTATTGTATTCACTTGTAAAGTGATTATTTGGAGATGATAGAGCTGTTGAATTGTGCTGGTGATATATATTTCGGCAAACTTTTATATGTCGGTTTATATTTTGTCGAAGGAAATTCATGAAATTGAAGAATGAAGTATAATGATAAACTCTGTAATTGTTGTTGAGATTTTCATAGTTTCAATCACTATCTGATTTTAGCTAGACCAACACTCGAAACATGGAAACATTTGATAGCCGTCTCCTTCTAGCATGGGACTCTTCAGCAATGTACATCAATGGCTATATGAAGAAATCTAACCTAGGAACTTCAGTTTTGCCCGTGAATACTTAATCTCTAAATTCAATCAATTCACGGTATCGTGTGATTTGTTTCTAATTGCTGATACCTCTCAAACATTAGTACATGATGAAACTCCATGGTGTAAAACTATACATTCGAGGTTTATTTTCTTGATCTCTTAATATTATCTGTTCCTTGTAAAGCGATCCTAATATAACCATCTTTTATCTACTAACATCATATTTCTTTTAAAAACTCACTACCAATCATAATACTATAACAGTATATAGTAGAAATTTTATTGTTCTATCATTGCTAGTTAATGAGTAGTATATGGTAATTATAATATAATTGCTCATATGATTTTTTCATTTATAAATTAATAAAAACAAATAGTTCAACAGATCAATTATAATGAATTTTGATTAGAATGTATCATTGTAGTGTCTAGTATCATATCAAGACCATATGGGTTATTCTAGCATTCAGACAATTTATTCATTCTTCTTGAGTCATATTTTGAACTTGGTAATTATTCGTTTATCAACCGTGACTGTATTTTCATATGAGCTATATCTGTGTGTACATCCTATCCTAATCATCACATGTCTGTAATTTTTGTTTGACTATAAATATCGATTCACGCTTGGCTAAATCGAGTTGGCTTCACTCGCCTTCTCCATTGCTCATCATTTTGTCTCACTACGTTGCTCTCATTGTCTGTCCAAGTCAATGAGTGTACGAAATATACGTATTCAGAAATCTATTATCGTATTTGACTTATTTAATTCTGTTATCCACCAACGCAATTTAAGCCGATAATTATATACGAGGATTTATTTATCAACACTTCTTCCTTTCACCGTCACTTAGTTTCTATTTTTTTTTGCTTTTTTTTCATCAAATCGTTTTAGTATCTTGAATTGAAACCACGTGGTCGTATTAGTACAATGTTTGGTGATGCATTAATGAGTCCAAGTGATAGAGCAGCACGACAAGCTGCTGCTGCTAGATCAATGAATCCAATAATTTATGTACCAAAAGTTGATGTAGCTGTTGGAAGTGATTTTCCTGGTGCTTTCAATTGTACTGGACCAGCTGGTGCAGCAGCTGAAGCTGCTTCACGTGTTGTTGAATTATACGGTCTTGATAATAATAATAACAATAATAGTAATGATCATCATCATCATAATAATAACAATATTATCAATATGAATCATACAAATTCTAATAATTTTATTCCAGAATCAATTAATTTCGATGATGATTTATGTAATATGGAACCTTCAGTTAAAAAACAACGTTTAACGTAATGTATGTAAATGAATGAATCATTTTAATTGTAATTGGTAAGTTGACAAACTACTTTATTTAATTCAATTTGTTTTCTTTACAAACTAACATTCTCTTTAACTTATTGATAGATGATTTCAGAAAGAGGTTTTGTAGAGATTTTTAGTAATTACAATAGTTGAATTCACGAGTCAATTGAAGTTAGACCATCATGAAAAACCTGGAAGCACTAAACAGTCGTTTCGTCCTAGTATGGGACTCCTCAGCAGTGGTCTAGAGGTTAAGTGTTCACGTACGAGAATAATAAGTCCTGGGTTCGGATCTCGCTGGGCGGGGTCGTGAATGCTCACTGCTGAGGAGTCTCATACTAGAATGAAACGGCCGTACAGTGCTTCCATGTTGGTCTAACTTCAATTGAATTCAACTAGAAATAATTTCGAACAAAAAAAGTTTGCTTAAATTTAACCTTTTTTTTAATTGTAAGGCCACGTAGTTTAGAAATAAAGATGTTTATATCATATAGTGTTTCTTTTTCACCAGTATTAGCATGAAAATCCATATATATAAATGGTTTTGATGAGTGCACATCCAATGATCTGTTAACACTTGCTACCGTGATGAATGTGTTTTAATCTCTAGTTATCCATTCCTCGAATAATTTCACTGCCAATTATAAAGTTAATAATTTAGATCATTTAATACCATGTAAATCGTGCTACTTCATAGAACCTAACACAATTTAAAGATGAAAAATGTATTTGTAAATTCTCAGCGAAAGAATTTGAAGTAAATCCAACGTTTCGCCTGGCAATCTGATCCAAGCTTTTTCAAGGAAAGTATTTTCCTCTTTAATGTCTCTCATTAACTTGGCACCCAAATATTGTGAAACTATTCCTTCAAATTTAGACGAAAGTTCTTACCTAACACAATTTGAATATTAGAATGTCTATACATTCAAAACATTTTATATTTCAGATAGAATCAAACTGAAGCTTTTGGTAAAACTTTTTATGACTTGAACAATGTCTAGTAGTATCGCTACGTAATCACTCCCTCAAAGTATTAGTATAGAAGATACATAAAACGTCTTCCTCTAACTTCAATAATCTTTCATTTAAAGTTTTTATAAATATTATTTACTTGTATGACATGTTAAATGTCGATGAATAATTACAACTTTGTTTCGGTTTGGCCCACAATAATTGATTATTTCAATACTGACGAAATCTTTCTCGAACTCCATAACTTGGCAACCGGCACACACACACATACAAATCTCAACAATGGAACCTGGGAAGAAGCCGGCCATGCAGATGACGAACTTAAGGTGGAAGGACTCCGACGATTTAGTAACCATTTGTTGTGACCTTGAAATAGAAAAATAAGCTACAAGTGGTAATTGATCATAAAGTAGCAAAGGTCACGTAAAGATACAAATTAGAAAAAAATATGTTTGGGCTTATCGCTAGAAGAAAGAGTTTTTTCAGTTAAAATCATCGGTCGATCTAAACTAGACCACCATTAAAAACCTAGGTACACTGCTATTTTGTCCTAGTATGAAACTCCTCATCAGTGTTCATGTATGATTCCACACGTGGGGCTCGAATCTAGGATCTTTGGGTTCCTACGCGAACACTTAATCTTTAGACCACTAAGCCGGGATCCACTGGTGTTAGTGTTCAACTTCGATTGGCTCATGATCTTTCACAACCCTTCATCCATTGTTTGAGGTGGATATCTGTCTCAGACTCAATATGGATTAGACACCACTGGTCACGGATTCTCACTAGAACTCGAGGAGTTATGCCTTGTAGCTAGCTACTAGTGAGTACTCGATTGTTGTCAGTATGGGGGATTTCTGGACATTGGTATTTTTACATTTGGAATCACGGTAGATATCCACCGCTGGCGTTGGATCAAGTGTTGCTCAATATCATGGATTTAGACATCAACATTGTGGTTTAGAAGTTAAGCGTTTTCGTATGTCACTTTTTTAATGGATTGTGTGTTAGATTATTGATATTCAAGGTAATACTCAACCTATTAGGTGGTGTAAAATTTTGGAGTGCTAGGACTACTTAGATTTTTTTAAGTTCATACCTTTGATTAGTGCAGATATTTGTTATATTTTCAACAACAAAAAAAAAACAAATCCCTTTTTTGTCCTGTCTCTGTAAATAATTTACGCTTTATAAGGAGGTAGACAATTATTGAATAATTCGCTTAATATTTTTGCTGTAAGATCAGTGATTTAGCTTATCAGTGACTTTGTGACTAACGAATGCACAGAGACGGAGACCTTAATGTCTTTTGGTCCTTGATCTTCTTCCAGCCCTCTGTATAATGAGATAACAAAGTTAGAAAGCAGATTAATTTGTGATTCAAAAGGTGTATAATAATGTATGGTACATTTCTGACCACATAGAAACATGTATAGTTAATCACTATGTGCGTATATAACCACGCCATATATGGTACTGAAATAATAGATCTTTAAGATAACTTAAGGAAAATAAAAACATATAACAATAGTTTGTAGATCACATTCAAGTATATTATGCAAGAATTATAGAACTATTATAATTCTTCGTAAGGTCACTCAACAAATTAGGTCTACATTTCCGATCATTGCACTCTGTTGTAACAATGTTTATCTTGTTAAACATGTCCTAATTTTATACTATAGATTATGCGCTTTTTTAAATTTTTCAGTGTCCGTCCCTCAACTTTTGTATTGATCAGGACAGTTATCAATTTGTGCTTTTCTTTTATAACTCCATATAAAAAATCAGATGGTTTTTTCCTCCCTCTTTCTTTCTCTCTCTCTCTGTCCCTTTGTATTTCTTTCCCTTTTTCTTCATACTCACCTGTTTTATTGATGACAACACTTTCGTGTTATGTGTATGGCATTTCACAGTGTATATGAATTGAAATTTGTTCTTAGCCCCCCTCCCCTCTTTAATAATTATCATTGCTTGATGATGATTTATTGATATATATATATATAGGAAGAAAAAAAATTTAGCATTCATGACTGAATGATATTCCATTTTACGTATTATATAATCTGTATTTGTAGCCAAATATAATTGTATGCTCTTAGTATATAATAACAATTTGATTTGTACAGGAACTTTCCCCCCCCCCATTTTTAGATGTGCAGTAAAAATACTAAACAAAAAAACCTTTTATGTCTTGCTATTTTTTTTTATCAAACAAAAATACAGAAATTGTATATGCACATATCTATTTGTCTGTATGAAAATTTACTTTATTCATTATTACTATTATTATTATTATTATTACTATTATTATTATTATTACTATAAATTGAATGGGGATTTCATACACACTATTAAAACAATTTTGTTATTTTTATATAAACATCATCATTACGGGATCGTTTTTTTTATAGAATATTAATAATAATAATAATAATGACCACACCGCCGCCACCACCCACCACCACCACCGCAACTACCACCATTAGTGTAATTTCAATGAAAAACTATTTAAGTGTATAATACTTTAAATCTGCACATTTTTTGATTTATTGTATCATTAAATTGCATTATTTTAGTCAGAATATAAATGTATTCTTTTTTTTGTGGGTTGTTTGTTTTTAATTTTTTTTTCTATCTATGAATGATTTAAGGATTGTGGAGAATTGAACAAGACGTAGTAGTAGTAGTAGGAGGAGGAGGAGTAATTTCAATGGTTTCGAAATGACGGGAAAATTAACTCGGATTTCCTCATATTACATATATTAGTAATATATTACCAATGGCTAATAAATGGTGACTGGTCAAATCAACCATATTGTTTGATATTTCTTTAAAATAGTAACCAGTTAAGAACTCAGGTTTAAAATTAGATCTGAAGTTAAGGTTACATGAGTTGATCAGTCAGTCAGCTGCAACGTGCTGGAAAAGCTCTTCTGGAGGTACCTGAAAAGGAAATTGGATTCGAGGTGGTCATACTGACCTGAGAGCAAGAGCGCAGTGTCCAAGGGACAGTTGCTTGAGGTCGGTCACACACGACCTTTTTATGAGTAATTTTTGTGTTAGCTCTGTACTTATTGAAACCTTACCGCCAGAGACGGATATCCATGGTATAAGGCGAAGTGTGCATATTTAGGGTCGACCTTTTCTAACCCCACCGCTCCTTGTGGGAAGGCAGCATCGCTGTCTCGTTGGTTGTCTGAAGGAAACACCTTACTGCTGTTACACCTCTGCACCGTGAGCAGTACGACTTCACCTTCGGACCTTGGTTTTGTTGCTTTTAGTCTTACCGCTCTTCAACCGACCAGTCTGGCATGGTAGGACCTTGAAGAACGGTTGTTCCAGCCAGTATAGCTCAGTTGCTTCATCACGATAGGCAAGCCCGACCACCACGTCAAGGTAGCAGCAACGGTCGGGACATGAGTCTGTTAGATGTAACAGTTCGCTTCATCATTTGAGATGTCTGGGACATGTGTTATGTACACTTAACTACCGACTGCTCCAGTGTGTGATGTTTTATGGTGTAGGGGAGTAAGTTGGAAGAATGGTAGGGGCGGTCAAACCAAAACATGAAACAAATCCATGTAGACTGAGTCGTGTTCGTGGATGTAGACTACCTGGTTGGGATCCGTGAGATGAAAGCAACCGATGGTTAGAGACCTTGAATGACATGGCTCAATATCGTTTGCAATTGCGTAGGTGTATCCACTCTTTGAGTTCTCCTAAATTCTAATCTGTATTCTTCATGTCTTTTATTTTCTTTCCAAATTTATTTCACTTGAATAATATCTTCAAACCCTAATCTTTCCCATTACTGCTTATACTTTTACTACCTCTTCCACTATGGGATTTGAATCGACAATGGCATATCTGTGCTAAAATGGTATGGCAACTTGAAGTGATGTACGTACGTACGAAGTTCTACGTTGTTGCTGACTGATAACAGTTCGCTACTTAAGAACAAGAATTAGGTAGGTTTCAGGTTAAGCAATTGTATGTAATAAATGATTAGGGTTTTC